AAAGTGCCGGCGGCAGCAGCTGTGGCGGCTCCGTGGGGAGAGGAGGCTGCGGGCGCCATGGCGGGCGCCGGCCCCTGGCAGGTGAGATCCGGGCGGCCCGGCGGACAGCCCCTGGCTGGGCAGGGGTGAGCAAGAGCCCGGTCCTGGGGCGGGGGCTGAGGAGCAGGAGCCGGAGGAGGTGGAGGCAGGATGGCTCCCAAGGAGGAGAAACCCCAGTGGGGAGACCTGGGTGCCCCCGCGCTGCGGTTTGGTGCCGGCCGTCTCGCCCGCCTCAGGAGCGAGGGGCCTGGGGCGAAGCGCGCGGGCTGCCAGGTCGCGAGGGGCCGCCAGGAGCTGAGAGACTCGCGAGGGGCCGGCCGCGGTCCGGAGGATGGGACCGAGCCTTCCCGGCCTGCCGTGCTGGGGGCTCTCCCCCGGCCACAATCCTCCTCGGTCCCAGGGGCGTGGGTCCAAGGACGAGGGGCTGAGGGTAAATCTGCTGTCTTTCACGAGACCCGCTCAAATTGTTGTGGAAAAATTCTGCCTAGCGAGTGTTGGGGTACAAATGCCCTTTGTCCGGCTGAGGAAGTTCACTCTCTGCCCAGCCTCTGCCTGACACGCTGGGCAAGATGGACCTATCGTCCGTGCTGCTGCACACGAAGGGACTCTGATGCCGAAAGCTTGCAGAAAAGGACAATTTTCTTGCCATTTCCCAATTGGTCCAATAAAAGGTACCATTTTGGACCCAAGAGCTCTAGTTTTTTGTATGGCGATTCTTCGGCTCTTACGAGATGCCTCCGGTTCTGCCAACCTCTCCCACGGGAGGGGAAGGATTTCATGTCTCTTCAGGCGCTCGAAAACAAATCTGGGAAAAGCTCCAGCGAATCTGTGCAAGGCGCATTCCCGCATGGTCCCCTGGGCCTGGGAAGGAGCTGATGTCATGGGTAGTTCCCTTGTTCCCCCCTAACAAATGCTTTCAGTTCAGAGGAAAGTGTTCTGAGTCACCGTGGGTCTAGGCACAGCGTTGTGCTGGGTTAAGTAAGGGCGTGATTTAAAACCTCTCAAAAACCAGTGCAATTTATGTCAGCGGGGATAACTTTGCATTGCAATCCAAAGGTGCGACTGCTGTTTTTGTATGTGTACCTGATATAACCCAAGCTAGGTAACTTAGGTGCTGATGTTGGTTTAGCTCAGGGATTCTCAACCATTTTAAATTCAAGGCATCTCTTCCCTTTAGAAAATGCCAGCTTTTAGTTTCACTCTTTTTTTTTTTTTAACTACAGAAAAATATCAGCGATTCTTTGGTTGTAAAGAACTCAGAACAACTGCTGCGGGTGAGAAAGTTTTGACACTCACTTATGGTTTCCTCTTGGAAATCTCTATAGGTCTATTGTGTGAATCATCTGTAGGTGTTAATATTGCATGTCGCCCTTAAAAGGATCTCCTGGCACCCTGGATGCTGTGGTACACTAGTTGAGCAGCACTGGTCTAGCCCCTTCAGTTTGAGCTGCACCTGCCTGTCTAGGACCCTGGGGAAGTATGTATTGGGTGAAGCTCAATCCCATGCTGCTGCAGCCATGCTGGGATCAGTACCAAAACCAGCTGAGTGAAGGCAGCTCCGGTATGCTGCTGAGCTGCAAGTGCATTTTGTGATTGCATTGCAGACATAGTCTAGGAGACTGACCTTCTCTGGGAACCACAGAACAGCTGCAGCATGAGCAGTGGCAGTTTCTTGATGCCCCACCAACTTTCCTAAACCACTCTTGCAAATGAACGTGAGAAATTAATTGACACGAGTGCAAAACATACATCCCTTGCGCTGTCTATGATAGTGGAACACGTTTGATTTCCTCCCCCCCAGTACAGTCAGTGCCAGTACTGTGGTATCATCTGATCCACACAAGAGGAGAAGATCCAGTCTCACACGATGACCCTGGCTATATGTGTTCTAAATATACTTATATTTAGAAAATGGACAAGGCACATAAGCTGGCTTTCAGCCCATGTGTTTGGCAGGGAGTAGCTTGGAGGAAAATTGCCTTGCAGCTGCCTGCTCCACACCTTTTCTGTGAATAAATGAAGGATGTCTGTTTGTTTCAGTATCTTTTGCCAGCACTCAGCTTGCATTGGCCACCCACCCTAGTTTACTGGTCTGAGCCAGATTGGTGTGCGTACATACTCCCGTCAGTATGGATTGGGAAGAAAATAAATTTGCCCATCTTTTCCAAATATTTGTTTAAAATAGAATTGGAAGAACAGATTCCTGTTAGTCACTGACTAGATATTGGACAAAAGGCTTTTTGATTTTTTTCCTGACCGAGAGCTGGTAGAGTTTGGCTGAGTGACTCAAGGGCTCCATGATTCAAAACCTTCTGATGCAACCTTTGGTATTTTCAAGACTTTGGCTTGAATCCTGGATTTGCTAGATGGGTGAAAACTTCCTGGAATCGGGATGTTAATCTGAATGACTTTGTTTTGTTCCCACTCCTAACAGCTCCTATTTTGGCTATCCTGGCTTGCTAGCGGAACTGACTCGGGTTTAAGTCACATCTAAAAATAGTTTGTGTAGGTCTGTCTCTCTTATTTGTTTGCCATTAAGCTGAAATTTAAGCAGCACCGGATTTAAGAATGAAATTTGGAAAGCGTGTTCCAGAAGTCTGACTTTGTGGTACAAGATTTTAGATAACAATAAAACGATTAAACAGTTGTGGTTTGTGCGCCATTGGTACGTGCCTTGTAGCTGAAGACGGCTTCCTAATGCCTCTGCATCCTACTGTTGCATGTGCCGTCTAACAGTACGGCAGTAACCCAGGGTTCCTTGGTTCCATACCTCACCCTGCCACTGATTTGTTGGGTGTTATTGGGCATGTCACAATGTACAAGGAACTTTTATCTCTCAACTCTGCGTTTTGTGTAAAAGTGGGAGTATTAATGTTAATTTAATCACTGTCCTTGCTTTAAAATCCCTCTGCCTATATAGAACCTAGTCTCTTGCTCAGAGTGGCTTTCTGTTCCCTCAATAAGTGATGGAGTCAGCAGCATCTCTTTTTGGATGAGGTGCTAAGTACTCCTGCCTGAGTTGAAAACATGCTTACAGGGTAAGAGAGCTTGCCCTGCTACCGCCTGTGCTACATATTTGTTGTCAGAGGCTGTCAATAGGGTATGGCTCTCCGGAGCTGTCACTGAGCCACCTCTCACCCAGATAAATAGGTTTAAATTTGATTTAAAAGGCAAAGCCAAAAACAGATGTTAATGTTGTCAGCGTATAAAGCAAATATTCCAAATCAATCTTGCTGCTTGCAAATGACATTGGCTACCTTTTCAAGAATAGTTGCTGGTGATGAGCGACAACTTTGCTCATTCATTTACAAAACAGGTGAGGGATTTAAGGTATCTTTCTTCCCCAGGAGGAGGTTGTGGCTGTCCATGCAATGAAAGCACAGCTGTGATGAGGCAGGAAGTTCTAGGTGCTCAGTCTGTGTCTGACTTTGGGGCAGTTGGTAATTCAAGACCATTTAGATGTAGATCTGCATCTTCTACCTAATGTGAAAGAAACTTACTTCTGACAAAAATAAAGACAAATTACAGCTTGCTTTTTCATAGTTAAGGGCCATCAATATATAAATAAAGGTATTAAATGGCAAGAAGAAAACCTGGTGAGGAATTGCATAGCCTCGGTTCTGGGTGTTAAGTTGGGATATATTAAGATCAAACATGAGCTCCACATCATCAAATTCAAATTTAGATCTGATCTTCTTTTATGTGTTAGTGATGGGTTGGATCAAAGGATTTTGGTCGAGCTGCTCTCAACTTAAGATGTAGTTACAGAAGTCCATACATATATTGCTCATTCACCCTTATGTTGCCTTGTAATCTCTGTAACTTTCTTCCTGATACTGGTTGATTGCAGGGCAGCTGTATTCAGCAGCTGAGTGATGGGGTAAACTTCATGGATCCAGGTTTCCAGCAGAAACTTGAAGATGAAAAGGAACTAATTCGTCGGGCCATCCAGAAGGAACTGAAGATCAAAGAGGGGACAGAGAACCTGCGCAAGGTGACAACAGACAGGAAGAACCTTGTACATGTAGAGCACATGCTGAAATCTTCCAGTCGGAAACTGGAGCAGCTGCACTGGGAGCTTCAGGAGCTTAATGCCCGCATTGTAATAACGGAGAAACCAGAGAGAAAGACAGGTAGGTCTTGGGTCAGGATTTGTGGGGTAAGCTGGTCAGATAGCTTCAGCCTTTTCCTTGGAGCCAACTTGTTTTGGGTGCTAAGCCAGGAAGTAAGAATTGCTTCCATTCAGGAAAGGAACCTCGATTTGTCTCTGCATACATCTAGTTAAGATGAGCAGTGTAGAGAGAAACCAAAGTGTGGGAAAGTTGGGAATGTCGTTTACCAAGATGGAAGGAGGTGACACTGAATATGAGGGGGGAGAAGGCTAAATGAGAGCACTGGATGTGGATGAGGTTCAGAAGGATGCAAACTGATTTGCAGAGCTTGGGGCAGCGTCTTCAGACAGAATCCAACAGGCAAGCTCCAGACAGGAGGCCTGAATTGGAGAGTGGAGGTGGTGGCATCCTGGGGGCTTCTTCCCAAGAAATCTGTAATTCCTCAGCATAGGGTTGTTATTAGAAAAGGAGACACAAGCAGGTAGGAGAGCTTGTTCCTCAGGTGAACCCATATTTGCACTCTCCCCCCTCATCCCATCAGGAACCCTGTGTGGGATCCAAAAGAGAGAGAATGACAGAGGTCACTTTGTTGTTTCACAGATGAGTCTAGGTCTCCAGACCCTTGTCTCTGGGAACAGGACTCGAGCCTGGTGGCAAGGAGGACTGAGGCTCTTAAAAAACAGCTGCACATTGAGATGAAGGTGAAACAGGGAGCTGAGAACATAATCCAGATGTATTCAAACACAGCATCGAAGGTGAGCGTTGTTTAGCAGGAATGAGAATGGTCATGAGGGAGCAAGGGGCACCTTGAAGCAAGATTTAATAAAAGTGCAAACACAGACTGTGTACTGCAGATCTGGGTGTGAGTGTGCTTTAATGTAGGGTTCATTTCAGGCTGTTTGTCTAAGCCCCAGCTGTGCAGTTCTGGCATGACGTACAGCTGTGGAACAGGCTGACATTCTAGCCTATGGGTGAGTGATACTGTTAATGCTGCTTGCTTCAGACTTGTAGCTTCAGGATGTTTGTAGCTGAGTCCAAGAACTAAGCAGAATAAAAAAAACAAGTTTCACTGGGCATAAAAGCTTGTGCTTCTGGGGTTTAAGCTCATTTCTGACCTCCTAACTGCAGATAGAGACTTCCCAGGGAAGCAGGTTATTCCATATTTGCCTGCAGTGGGGTCTCTTGAACTTACCTATGAAGTACGTTGGCAGTGTTACATTTGTTTGATTACAGACAAAATATGCTGCTTCCGGAGAACCTGGCACAGTAGGGAAGTGGTAGGACAGAACGGTACCAAATGACCTTACCTAAGGACAGATAGCAAAATGAAATGGAAAACTGTTGTGATATGTCCTTTGTGTGCCTCTGTCCCACGTCAACAAGTTTCTGATGCATACCTAATTGGTATGATACTCCTAATCGCAAGAGAGTTTGAAATAGGTCAGAGTGCACAGTAACCCTGGAGATGAATTATTGGAGAGACATTTTTAGGGATTTACTGTATTTTTTCCACCTGTCCCATTTGTCAGATCTGGAATAATTTTATTTAATAATTGTATTTAAGAGTCAGGGTAATTTAAATGTAATCATTTTTTTTAAGACACTTATGCTAAATTAGGTTGGGATATTGCAGTTTATTTAGTCTCCCTCAACTCTGTCAGTGCAATTGACCAAAGATCACAGGATTCAATTGCTACAACATCAGACCTGTCTTTTATTGGTTGAGTATGTCCATAGGTTAGGACTGTCCCATAGTAATTAATTATATCTGTGGGATCCTAACACATCCCAGGGTCCTTATCTCTGTATACAATGGTTATAAATTAAGGAACTCGATCCTTATGTATTTCCTCTGTACAATCAGTTACGATGGTTTCAAGATCTTCTGCAACCCTTTGTCCTTGGATGTAGTAGCACCCCATCCTCCTCCCAGCTTAACACACTATTCAGATTCATTGCTGATCTGTCTAGATCTCTAACCACCCATTCTCTTTTGTCAGGATTGGAAACTGTTTGCTACTGCCCAGCAGATGCTTCAGGACAGCAAGATGAAGATCGAGATAATCCGTATGCAGATTGTGAAGGTGTCTCAGTTGGCAGGAGGCACGGAGGATGCAGTGGATCCAGCAGGTAGGATGTTGGATACATCCGATGGCACTGAAGGGATGTTTCTGAAGCAACACTTGCAGTGTGGTATGCTCAGCCTCTTGCTTGCCTGATTGCTCTGTTTATCTCCAACACCACCAGTGAGGACAGGAGCTAACATCAGCCTTCTGGAGCTGCGCATTGAGGAGCTGCAGCATCACCTACGCATTGAAGCTGCTGTGGCAGAGGGGGCAAAAAATGTGGTGAAGATCCTAGGAGGCAGCCGGGTGCAGGATCGCAAGCTGTTGGCTGAGGTAGGTACCACTTCAGCTCTCTGAAGGGTCGATAATGACTTGCCTTAGGCTGGAGAAGGCAAAGTAGAGATGCACCTAACAGACTGAATTGGAGATGATGAAGTGAGCCCTCACCCATAAAAGCTTATGCATGTCTGATTCAGTTAGTTTATAAGGTGTACCTCTACTCAGCCTTCTGACTGTTACTGGCAGTATGAGTGAGAGCATATTGTCCTTGTCATCTTACTCATTGCCTGTAGTGCATAATGGCAGTGCCTTTAACCTAGTGCAGTGGCTTTCAACCTGTGGTCCATGGACCTTTGGTGGTCTGCAAGCTATGTCTAAGGGGTCCATTAAAGATGACTATGATCAATCAAAAGCATGTGACTACAATTCAAAGGGGTCTGCACCTCCATTCAAAAATTTTTAGGAGTCACAAATGAAAAAAGATTGAAAACCACTGACCTAGCGCATAGACAGTCCTCTACATATGCTGTGGTGGTTTGATTTGCATTTCAGAACTCACTTTGGCAATAAAGCTAGTGAGGGAGAACACTCGCAGCAAACCAGGAAAAAAAATGTTGCTTAGCCTTTAGAACAGGTAAAAGTGAGTCACAACTTTTTAGCTCTGCCACTGGTTTGCTGTGTAACTTGGGGCAACTCACTTTTCTTTGCCTCAGTTGACTCATCTGTCTAATGGGAAAAACTCTCATGTACCCTGCAGGGCTCTTTCAAGAATTACTTATCATAAAATGCTTTGAAAGCTTTAGTCAAAGCTGTATCCCCGTGCATAGTATTAGCTATAGTAATTATTCAGCGTGAAGATTCATCATGCCAGCAATATTTAGTAATCGCCTTTAGAAGACCAAACTTCTGCTCTGCTGATTAGTGTACTGGAATGGTAAGAAGAGCATTGGAGCACATATCCTCAGCTTCTTTTCCTAAAGGTGCATTGTTCAAGTGGGAAATACATTGGTGAGAGTTTGTGAAGAGGGCTATATCCCTCTCATCCCACAAAGCAATGACTTGGGCGGAATAAGTGGTGCTGTCTCTTGCCATCCTCTGCAAACAGGATGGCATCTGGCCTTTGAGTTTGCAAAGGCCCAGTAGTGCCCTGGTCTGGCAGTTCAAAGCCTATACCAGTTTTTTCTCTGTGTCATGTTACTAGGCTCAAGGCCGCTTGCAAGAATCATCTCAGAAGATTGATTTGCTGCGTTTGTCTCTGGAACGGCAGCTTAATGAGATTTCTCCTGATCACCCAAAGCGGGCAGCCATCAAGCAGGAGCTAGTAAGCATTTCTTCTCTGGGAGCCCAGCATGGCAGGGTCCAGCCTTCTACTTCATTGATCAAACCTACAGCTCTTACAGGTACTTGAATTCTGTGAAGTTTGTTGTGGGGAGAAGCCGAGTTGAATGGGTTTCCCTTGTCGTCATTGTGATGTGGACACATGGTGTGCTAGGAACTGGACTGAGGACATTGACTTAGCTTTGTGCTAGCCTCTACAAAATGTCAGATGGTGATGGCTTTCAGTCACTGCTGAGCTAGGTTGGGTTTGAACCTGTGATCTAAAAAGCAAAGCTAAAAGGGTTCTGGGCCCACGTGAGAGCAGACTGAATGGAACAGTTTAACTTTTCTAGACATAACCTTCTTTGGTACGCTGCAATTCCTCAGGAACACTGGAAGTGAGACTGATGGGGTGTCAGGATCTGTTGGAGAAGGTTCCAGGACGTTCCCGAATGGCTGCTTCATCTCCTATCCATGCATCTCCAAGTGACCTGTGGTCCCTGACCAGAGCAAGGGCTGGTATGGGCATCTATGGCCTCAGCACTGCAGGAAAGCACTTGCGGAACGAGGAGCTATGTAGTGAGTATGATGTTCCCAGTTGGATCAGTGATGGTACTTTTGTGGTTCTGGTGTCTCCTAACAGTGTGCTGTGAGCACAGTGATGGGTAACCTGGAGCATTTGGCTCCTGAAATAATGAAGTAGAGGATGAGCCATCTGGTCATCTTTCTCTTTAGTGGATTTCTTCTGTGCTAGAAATCTGACTGGGTGAGGGAGGCACCTCTAGGAAGGATGTCTTAGAAAGCAGTATCTTGCGAAACATAGTAACAAATGCTTTCTTCCTTGTCTAGATGAGGTGCTTGCGGTGCTCAAAGTGGACAATAAAGTGGTTGGTCAGACAACCTGGGGGCCAGTTAATAACCAGGCATGGGACCAGAGCTTTGCTATTGAGCTGGATCGGGTAAGCATGATAAAAATAGTAGGGTCAGGGATCTCTGGTCTTGCCCTCAGGTCCCCTGTGTTGTAGCTGTTTGTTATTTCACTTTATTCACTTTACTCATTTAACTTGCTGCTCTGTTTGAACCAACTCCTTTATTTGAACTGTCCCCCTTACACTTGTTAAGTACTGTTATCTCTGTCTGCCCTGAAGGCAGTAGTGCTTTGGCAGAACTTCAGCCTGAACACATCTGATGTCCCTCAGTCCCCAGGTGAGCCGCTTCATTCCGTTTTACCTGCAATACAGCTTACTTCAGGATAACTCACAGTGAGGGTCAGTCTCAAATCAAAGGCTGCAGGGAATCAGTTGAACATGAGTGCCTCCCAAGAACTGTAGCTGGTAAAATTCACCAAAGATTAGAGAAAGTGAGAAGCAGTAAGGTTTAAGGGACTGTTTTCTCTTCCTTTCTGTGTCTGTCTTGCATGCTGCATCATGTAGTTGCCCAGATTTTCTACAAGGCAAGAAAAGGATTCTGCTCCAGAGCTCCAGGCAGAGTTCAGAGTGTGTTGTGTGTGAGATCCAAACCTGGAGCTGGGACGTTACCAAACTTCTCTTCTTGCAGTCCAGAGAGCTGGAGATTGCAGTTTATTGGCGTGACTGGAGAGAGCTGTGTGCAGTGAAGTTCTTGCGTTTGGATGACTTCCTCGATAATGAACGTCACGGGATGTGCCTCTCTCTTGAGCCCCAGGGGACGCTTTTTGCAGAGGTGAATGCTCCAGACTTCCTTTTCCAGGGTGGTCCCCATCCTGGGCCTATTTTGGATGCTTAACTTTGGAGTTTAACTTTCATTGCATCAGGTGGGTTCAGCTGAGGCACTAGTGAAGTGACATACCACACATGAGTGAGTCAGTGCCTGAGCTGGAACAAGAGCCCTGGGGTCTTGTCACAGTTCCTTGCCCTAATCTATAGACTGTCTCCCATCCTTGGTCAATGGTGGGATTACCTCCAAGGTAATCTGCTTCCTCCCTGGGAGAGGAAGAGGAAAGATGGGCTTTTGCAATGTAATATTTTTTTTCTTGTTTTCTTTTTTATAAACCTTATTTATTGCAAGGGCAACTTATCCAAAAACAAATTGAATGTTTAAAGATACATCCATAATGCAGTTCTTTTCATCCCCCTGTTAATGGTGTGGTGTCTCTCTTAAAAAGAGCTAAGGACCCCAGAATGAACGGTGTAAAGGGGGACAGCATTCTGGAGTGGCCTGTTCAGCTGAAACAATCTGGACTCAGCTGGCTAATCCCAGATCCTCAAAGACATGTAGGTGCCCAACTCCTATTGATTTAAATGTAAATTGGGTTCTTGAATATCTTTTGCAAATGAGGGCCAAAATCACCAGCTGAAACCAGGGAGAGTAATAGTACAACTTGAGTATATGATTGCCCAGACGGAGGATTAGAGAGGTGCCATTAACATTACCTGAGAGCAACAGAACAAAAGCAAGCCAAACCTTGTTTTTATGAGTTAATGAGGACACTTTAATTAAAGGGAATGTCTCAATGATCAGGTCTGAATTACTCCTACTGCTTGGAATTGGAGGTTCTGGTCCCCTTGAGGCGCACTCATCCTTCTAAGGATGATGACAAAATTCAGGGAAACAGAGACTGTTAGGGAGTCCTCCTTCAGCCCTGCTTCCTTAGCGAACAGAATCTTAGAAAAGATTTCTCCAGGGAATCTTACCCAAGTTGAGATCTGTGACAGCGTGATTATGCAAAGTTTCCCCTTTTATCACTCTTTTGGTATGGGTCAACTGCTGCTTCCCACCCCTGAGATGGCTGTATTTCATCAGTGATGTGTGATAGTGTCTGAGAAGCTGGTTGATGTCCTTTAAGTGAAAGATAGCAGAGATGTTTTGAACTGATCTGTCCCTTTGTCAAGATAGTGGGAAGGCCTAACTTTAAATAAAAATGGAATTAAGATGAAATCTGTGGGATGTAGGCAGCATAACTCAGTCTGGGCCATGCCTGAACAAATGACTCCTACTTTCCTGAATGAATGTGAATGAAGTATTTGATCAGAGGCCCAGTGTGCCTAAGCTAGTGTTCAAAGGGCAAGTAAAGGTCTCTGAAGAGTCTTCTCTGCTTTCCTGTCAGGTGATGTTCTGTAACCCTGTTATTGAGAGAAGGTCCAAGCTGCAGCGCCAGAAACGCATTTTCCCAAAACAGAAAGGTAACCCAATGGCAAACATATGCCCACTCTGGTGGGGGAAGTGGGGTGCAGTACCTAGTTTGATGCTATGTTTTAGATGCTTGCAGATTAGCATGTGTGAATAGGAAGGTCTGTTAGGGAACAGCACTAGCTCAACTCCATTAGGCAAGTGGTAGAAGTCTGGCTGCTTTTTTTTTTTTCCCCCTACCCTCTTACCACATTTGGAATCAGGAAAGAATCTTACCCCAAGATCAGCTTGGCATAGATTGGTGGGGGGTGGAGGGGGTTTGCCTTTCTCGCTAGTGGGGGGCACCATCTTCTTCCTTGGATCTCTTGAGAGTATTTTAATAAACTTTCCTGTCACTGTAGTGGCAGGCCATTGACAGTGCCCTTGTTTCCCTGCTTTATCTGTGGCATGTGCAGGTTCTTGACATTTTTAGGCCCTGTGCCTGGTAGTTGTGAAGGGGGTTTCTTGTGCAGTTTTAAGAACAGGTTAGGTAAATACTTCTCCTATGGGATGTCTTAGAAGGGGATGATCTTGCCTTGAGCAGGGGGTTGGAGCAGGTAGACTCCTGAAGTCCCTCCCAGCCCTACTTCCCTATGATTCTATGGCTCTAACATACCACGTGCATATTGCAACACTGCTAATTTCACCTCCTCCAGGAAAGGAGTTTCTCCGAGCTTCTCAGATGAACATAAACCTTGCTGCCTGGGGCCGCCTAATGATGAGCATCCTCCCACCATGTAGTTCCCCGACCACTCTTAGCCCTCCAGTTCAGCATCCTGCTCATTCAGATTTCGCCTCTCCAGCTCCACTGCCAGATCAAATTGATCTGATGTCCAGGTGGGACAGATGAGACCTGTTGGAATTAAGGCTGGGAAACTGACAGAAATGGGCACAGAGTACATCTGAACACTTTGTGAAACTCCATGGGGTTGGGAAAAATCTTGGTATGAAAGCTCTGTTTATAGGACTTGACTCAGGTTAGTGAGGAAAGCTAATACAGACTGAGATCATGGATCTAGTGGCCCATTCAATGTAGTGTGGGCAGTTCTGATTTATTGTTTGTTGGACCAATGTTCAGAATCACAATTCTAAAGAGTGGCCTGGTTTCAGAACCAGGGTAATTTCACCAGCTTTCCTTTTTTTCCTCTCCTTAAATGTCACATGTTAGAGCAGGAAAAGCCACAGACAAGAATGTGGTGGCAGGAACATGACAATATGAGGGAAACTAAAGCAGGTTGTCATGCTTAGTTTGACATGTAGATTATGCAGTTGCAAGGAGTGACCTGTCCCTTTTATTAAAGTTCCTTAAGATGTGCAGTATGTGGGTTCTGTAAAAGGCCACAATTTATCCAGTACTGGTATAGAATACAATCCTCCCGTGTGATTACAAATAATCCAACCATGTACCTGAATATGTTGTTCCAAAGCTGCGTGCTTCAACTCTTTTTAATTTACACCTGAAGAAAATAATTGATCTACCTGCCCTGGAAGAGGATGAATAGCTAACTGATCTCAGCTTAACTTAACTGAGGTTTACTTTATATTCTTAATTGGATGGCTATTATGTCGATGGACATTTCTATAGCATACATCTCTCATAGTGTCTGTGTGCTAGGTACCTTGACATAAGTAGAAACACCACCAGCATAATAGAGGCTTCTTTTCTTCAAATGAATTTTGAAGGAGCATATTTTCCATTGATTCCTCAGACCTGGGGAGTGTGAATCAGGGAGTCCTACCCTCCAGTGATTTGGGACACTTTAAACTTTGTATAAGTATTTTTTGGTGCTGCATGTTTGGCCATCATACTCTGTTCCTTGGAGATCTGCTTAAAATATATATTCTTTACATGCAGTGACTTTCCAGTGGGTAAACTGATATTTGATGAAGAACCTCCCCGGAAGCCTCCATGCCTCTTTCTGCCGGCAGACTCCAAAGAAATGGTGCCTTCTCCCACAGACTCTCCAGTAAGAATCTGAATGAATGGAGGGATTTTGGAGGCTGAGCTGGTTTTATTAGAGATGGGGCTTTGCTCTTACCTTCCAAATCCCAGCTTTTTTTTTTTACACTTTGGAGGAAAATTCTGTCTCTTCTGGTGGATGTCACTTTAGGGCTAGCTAATCTCCTGGGGTGTAGAAGCTAGTGAAATGGCTTAGCACTGGGTTTTTGGCCCCTAGGAATACACTAAAGAAATATGTTCTCTTTCCCTGTTCTTATGAAATGGCTTCCTATGGGAAGTAGAGTGGGAGGTGGGGGTCACCTTGGGTTTCAGACCATGCTGGGAAAGAGGTGGTACTGTGGGGGCTGAGCCAGCAGGTGCTATAAAACTGGAATATAGTGTAAAGGTCTCTTCTACTGAGGGAGTTGGGCAGGGAGCAAGAAGAATTCCTCTTCCCAGAGTTGCTGAGGGGCTAGCTGTCAACACGGCTATGGTCCCCCTATCTGTTCCCTGTCACGTGTCTTGTGACATCTGCTTTATGTGGCAGCAAGATGCAGTTGCATTTTCTGTAGTGTCTGTGCTCCTTTCAAATTGCACTGAGATGCAGAAAAGGACCATGTTTTGTCTTGTTGTTTTTTTTAAATGATAACTTGCACAGGAACCTGCCTTCAGGAGGGAGATAAAAAGTGCTTCTTACATTGTTCAGTTTATAGAAATAGTCTTCAGCTACAAGAGAAGTTGTGTTCACACGGGGCCTGTGGGCCATCCCCTGCCCACAACAAATGATTCCTGATTAAACCACAGCAAGAACACCCTGTGGTTACTACCGGGAGATAGTTTCATAGTTAGTAGGGTTAGAAGGGACCTGAGCAGATCATCAAGTCCGACCCTCTGCCATGGCAGGAAAGAGTACTGGGGTCAAACGACCCCAGCAAGGTGATTGTCAAGCCTTGTCTTGAAGACCCCCAGGGTAGAAGCCAGCACCATTTCGCTTGGAAGTTGATTCCGGATCCTAGCTGCCCTGAAAGTGAAGTAGCGCCTCATAGTTTCTAGAGTCAGAAGGGTCCTGAGCAGATCGTTGCGTCCGGCCCCCTGCCATGGCAGGAAAGAGTACTGGGGTCAAACGACCCCAGCAAGGTGTTCATCTAGCCTGCTCTTAAAGACCCCCAGGATGCCTCATCTGAAGCCACCTGATGCCTCATCTGAATTTACCCTCTGCCAGCTTGTGACCGTTTTTTCTAGTCACTCCTGGTAGTGCTCGGGGGAACAGGGACTC